TAATGAGAACAAAAGTAAGTTGTCTCACGATGCAAGTAAGCTGCACAAATTGATCCTTCAACTTTGGCCTTGTTTTTCACTGATCGTTTTGAATCACCCATGAATCTAATGAATTAAACAACATTATGATTGATAAGTATAATAAGAATGACATTTAAAAGCCATGGGACAATCATTTTAGTACCTTTCAAATGGATACATCCACCTATATTGCACGGGTCCACCAAGCCAAGCTTCATATGCCAGATGAATAGGGAGATGCTCCATTGAATCAAAGAATCCAAGAGGAAATATTCTTTCCAACTTACAAAGAATAATTGGAATATTTTCTTCCATTCTAGTTAGCACTTCTCTCTTCAATGTTGCAGAGCACAAATCTTTAAAAAAATGACTAATTTCAATAAGAGGATTTAAAACATGTATTGGTAATGCACTAAATGCAATAGGAAGTAAACACTCCATGAATACATGACAATCATGACTTTTCATGCCATGAATTCTCCCTTTTTGAACATCAGCACATCTTGTTAAGTTGGAAGAATAACCATCGGGCATCTTAGGTTCTTTTATCCAATGACAAACTACTTTTGCCTGCTCAGTACTATATGTGTAGTTTGCTTTAGGCTTTAAGATTTTCCCATTAGCTTGTGCCTTCAACTCCAAGTCTCTACGCCTACAATATAAAGCTATATCTTTTCTTGCTTTGTCATTGTCTTTTGTCTTGCCACTTACATTCATCACAGTGTTGAAAATATTATCAAAGAAATTTTTCTCTATGTGCATAACATCAAGATTATGTCTTAACAAATTATCTTGCCAATATGGGAGATCCCAAAATATGCTTCTTTTTGTCCAATTATGCCACTCTCCATATCCTTCTATCCTTGTCACACCACATTTAGTTACTTTTAGCAAATCTTTTACTCTTGACCATACTTTTGTAGGTGTTAGCCTAGGAGGCGGCCCTTCTAATTCAACTTGCCCCTTCTGAAAAGCTTTAATGTTCCTTCTAAAAGGATGATCATTAGGTAAGAACCTTCGATGCGAGTCAAACCAACAACTTTTACGGCCATAATTTAATGTAAATGATTTTCTATGCTCCATAAAATGTGGACAAGCCAATCTACCATGAGTCCCCCAACCAGATAACATCCCATATGCTGGAAAGTCATTAATAGTCCACATCAAAGCTGCCCTCATCATAAAGTTTTGTTTCCTTGAAATATCATATGTAAGAATACCACTCCATAATTTTTTCAAATCATCGATTAAAGGCTCCAAGTAAATGTCAATAGAGGCTTTCGGATTAGATGGACCCGGAATTAGGCAAGTTAAAAACATATATGGCTTTGACATGCGGATATCGTGAGGAAGATTATATGGGGTGACAATCACGGGCCAACAAGAATAAGGTGAAGATGAAGCTTGGATATATGGGTTAAATCCATCGAACATAATCCAAGTCCGACATTGCGTGGATCAGCAGCGAAAGAAGTATGTTTCCTATCAAAGTACTTCCATGCTTCACCATCTCGATGGTTGGCGTAACACATCGAACTTCTATTATCATGGTGCCAAGTCAGTTTCCCAGCAGTTTGCATTGATGCAAATATTCTTTGTAATCTTGGAATTATAGGAAAGTAAAACATAGCTTTTATTGGGACTGGCTTTTTGTGACTTGTTCCAGTGCTATTGTTGTGATATCTTGGTGTTTGACAAAATTTACATTCAAGCAATGCCGCATCCTTTTTTCCATAATCATTGTCATAGAAAAGCATACACCCATTAACACAATAGTCAATCCTCTTAGCCTCTAATCCCAATTTTGATACTAATCTCTTAGCATCATAATAACTTGTGGGCAACCCATCTTTTATAGGTGTCACATCCAACAACATTCGTGTCATAAAGTCTAAGCACTGGTAAGGAATGTTCCAATTTGACTTGCAAGATAAAAGTCTAACACATATTGACAATTTTGAGTCTTCTGCCCCTTCAAATAAGGGTTTATTTGTTTCAGCCAACAAATTATAAAACCTTTGACTTGCGTCATTTGGTGGTTCTTCTATATTAACGAACTCGGGTCCTTCAAATGAATGATGTTGCAAGAGAGAATTGTACATCATCTCTTGCATTGACATAAATTGATCTTGTTAAGGCATGTGTGCACCGCTACTTGAACCGTGTACACAATTGTGATCAAAATTCTCTTCAACATGAGGTATTTGTTCACCATGATCGACCCAAATACAGTAGTTTCTTTTGAACCCTTGCTTGTAAAGGTGAACTTTGATGATTTCATCCTTCAAAATCTTTGTACAATCGCATTTAACGCATGGACATCTAATCCCTCCATCATGTTCATAATGCTTATGTTGTCGTGCTGTTCTGATAAACTCTTCAACCCCTATAACAAAAGACTCTTTCAAACCTCTTCTACCACTATAACATCTATCATACATCCAACCGCGATTGAAAGAAATACCATCCATGTTCTGTAATATTGAAGAGAATAAGATCAATTAAAGGAATTGTTTGAAAGAAATCTACCATTGGATTTTGATTAAACTATGCTTCCAATAGAGTAAAAAGACTCAACTAAAACTTTTATGTTTTGCAAAAGTTGATACAAATGAAATCTCCTATAGACTTAAGACAAATAGTGAAATTGCACTTCACATAATTTGAATCAAAATTGAATCTAAACATTAGATTCAACATAATAATACTAAGCTACTTTATATTATCAAATCCAACTTAACATTGGACTTTCAAGCAATAGGCTTCAATAAAAAAGGAATCAGTGCACTAAAACATATTTACATATAAAGATGAAAAGTCAAAAAATGTGGAAAACCAAAGTGGAAGAGTATTGCTAAATGAAATAAGGTGAAAAAGTGATCATTCTGGAACTCAAATATTTAGATCTCGAATTAATTATAGCAAAACTGAAATTTATTTATTAAAAAAGAAAAACGCATTTATGACTTGATGGGTAATAGGATATCAGTCTATTGTATAGCCAAATGGAGGAAATAATAGCAGCCTAGCCATGGTGACCAAAGGATTTTATATTATTTTTAAGATATTACTGACACCTTCGGAAGATTAATTCATCAAATTTAAAGTGTTGGGTGGAAAATCATAGACACAATCTGGTTCCCAAAAGAAATTGTCAAGCAATTTTAAGTGTCAAACAAACAATTAAAATTATAAAAGCTATGTCATCCCCAAAACAGTTTAGATGGCAACCATTGGAATTGTGGTTTATAACACTAATTAGTAATTTCAGTGTAAAAGGAAATGGCCGTTTCAATTTTGGTGCAGAAGAGCAATTTTCCTCCTCTCACCCACTACCAAGTGTGTAAGATAGACTTTCGAGGAAGACCTATTTAATTTTCCATGTAAACGCAACGGTGTTTTTTTTTTAGTCCCATGTGTGAACGCATTTAAACCCAGCTGCCTCCGTATTGGGCTTTTTGTACTGTAGGAACCTAATTCTTACCTAACTCTACCCAAAACAAAACAAAACAAAAATTCTCGCTTTGGTTCTATTTATTGGCCACAAATGTGTATGCATGAAAAAAAAATTAAAATTTAAAAATATAAAAAAATAGAGGCACGCAATCCCATTATACAAAAACATTAACACTTGTTTCCCTGGTAGATTGTACAAGCACTATTAAAAACATGGCCAAGAAAAAATCTAAATGGATGCTGCCTTACTTTCTTGCTTTGCTCCCTGGCACCTAGTTTAGTTACCTTTGAAAAAATGGCTATGAAACATTTGGTCAACATGTTTCATTCTCTCTCTCCCCTCTTCGCTTATGTTTGACAAGACACACTTATGGCTAAATCTAAACTAAACCAAACCCCTTTTTATTGATTACTTATAATTATGCTTAGTGACACTCTCAACCTTTCTTTATCATTCATTCATTCATCTCATGCTTCACACCTAAATCATTACAACAGATCTCATGGGCTCCACTTTATTATTCTCTTCCCTTTGCCTCCCCTTTCTGTTTCCTTCTTCTACTTTCCAACTTTTTAACCCTCTTACTTACTCTAACAATAATTCTATTACTCATTAAAAATTATCTTTATTTTTAACGGGTATAATTTTTTTAAAATATTTACACATTAAAGCAAAAGCATTACCCTTTATCCTTAGCTTTTTTTTGCCTAATTGGGTTTTTTCAACCCTAAATTCATTTGGACATACTATATCTATTAAAGGTGTGAATGATCCCTAGTCTACTTCATTGGGCGTGGCACTTATGCTAGAGGACTATATATGTGAAAAGATACATCAAACATAACCCAAAAATTTCGCTGAGCAGAACAACCTAGCTATAGGCAGAGATGTCTACGTTAATTTTGAACATAATACATCATATCCTAATTTGCACTGCATATGTAGCTTACTCCATGTGGAAAACTCCAACATTTGGCCCCTACTCATCATATTCCTATATTGGACTATAGAAAAGATTGTACAATTGTTATATATTAGACTTTTTCTGGTGAAGTAATCCCTATAGCTAGTAGACAGTCTGATGATAAGTGTTTTATAAAATGTTTTCACAAGACTTGTATGCAAGTTTAGATGTGTTAGTAAAAGTGATAGATAAACACTTAGTTTTTATAATTGCACCGTGCCACATGGAATCTCTCGCTTCGCCAAGGGAATAATCTCCCCTAAACCAACCATCAACACCACTACCATGCGAGTAACCTTCACAAGCCGAGAGCTAGCCATGGTTCTGAAGAGTTAGAGAAAATTGCACTTCTTCAAGGAATGATGTTGAGTTGTGGTTTGTGAATATTTCAAAGGGTATTTATAGAAATCATGGGATTAAACCTGGGATCATTAAATTATGAAATGTGAAGTAAGGAATGGTAGGTTTTCATTTAATGCAAGAAGATGAATGAAAGATAACCGATATCTGTAACAATACAATACAATGGCAAGACATGTGCATACCACTTTTTCCTGCATGCCCCAAAATGATTTTTGGGTATGTAATTTCTGAAAATACAACATCACAATTTAACATTTTCTTAGTAAAAGAAATATGTAAAGATTGATTAAAGTGAGAAGATATGTACATACTTCATGTATTCAAAGGCATTATTTAGCCAGCAAAGCCATATGGTGTCTGAAAATTCACAAAGATTCTTACCCCAAATACATGAAAAACAGATTTTGAGAAGAAGTATATGCATAAGAAGAAGAAATAAGATTAAGACAGACACAGTAGAGATCCTAAAATTGATGACATGTATAGTATATGAAAGAAAAAGCCCCATAAATAGCCCCATTACAAGTGCAAGCTACATATATGAAAGAAAAAGGAAAATAGCAGAAGATGTAACCTTTATGAGTCAAAACTCTGAATATATATAACGTAGTGTTTAATAAAAGCTTACTTTGTTTGCCTTCATGTACTATTTCTGCTATCAATCCAAATGTAACACAAGGGCAGAAGCAAGTGACCAAATCTAAGAGAATAAACATCCATAGTAGGTCAAATTTCTTGATGCTTATACTAAAGAAAAAAACTAAGGAATCCACATACTCTTAGTCTTACAGTTTCCAGGATCATCAAGACAACGACAAAGACCAGCTTGACCAATTGTTGTGTCTTGATTCTAACCAAAGACAAACTACCCAAGACAAGTAGCTACTAGCTCATTTCCATTTTTTGGACAGATTTCTAAATAAATATTTATGTGAAAAAAGAAGTCAAATAAATTAAGTTTGTCCAATTAACGAAAATCAAATTCTCGCAGAGATAAATCTAAAATCAAATTATACACTTCAACTTTCATAAAAGGCCTTTCATCTAATTTCTCCTAAAACCAATTTCAGCTTTCTAATTTTCTTCACCTTCACCGACAAGTTCATACAAAAAGACAAACCTAAATCTATTTCCACAACCCCTCCTTAGATGACGGGGTCAATGAATAACAAAATTGAATGTAGTACCGTACAAATAATTTTAAACCCACATCTCCTACATCTCCAAAACGGTTGAAGATCCAAATTTTCAACTAAGAACCGTTTCAAGACAAGTGAAACATTGCACCCGAACTAAAAGTCAAAAGACTAAAACTATAAGAAATTAAAATAATCTAGAAGAAGCAATTACAATGAACTTGAGCAATTACTTCGAGAATAACTCGGAATAAGAGGATACATAAAGTTTCTGACAATCGAAGGGGAGAAACAAGCAAGTCAAACACAAAAGCAAGCGAGAAATTGAATGTGGAAAGAAACCCTAACCTTCGCGACAAAGAGAGGAGTAAAGGGAAATCGTGCGACACTAGGTGGGGATTACGCAAGGCCACGATCGCTCAAGTGGTTGCCACCAGGGAGCTTGGACAAATGTAAATTCCAGCAGAGAGAACGACCTTATTTTTGGGTTTCAGAAAAGCATAGGCGTTGAGGCACCTTTTGTTATTTTACTCATCTCAAGGAAGTTAATTTACCGACGGATATATCCATCGGTAAGACCAAATTCCACAGAAACTTTAAATCCGTCGGTTATTTCCCTCGGAAATCACTCATTTACCCATGGCTACATATCCGTCGGTAACTAATTGAGAATTTACCGACGGATATATCCATCGGTAAGACCAAATTTCACATATACTTTACATCCGTCGGTAATTTCCGTCGGAAATTAGTTATTTTCCGATGGCTTCGTATCCGTCGGTAAATATCCGTCGGTAATATCAGATTTTCTTGTAGTGTGAGCCAGAGCAGTAAGTCACACCAGTCCTACAAAGTGGACTTCACAATCAAACGGGGGTTCGTACTCGTCAAACCAGATGGGGGTGCGTACTCATCAAGCCTTACAAAAGGGGGCTTAAACTAGACTTTGCAACCAAGGGGTCAGCTACCGCATCAAAGGAGCATCCCAAGGTTACAATAACCAGACGGGGGTTCATACTCGTCAAACCAGATGGGGGTGCATACTCATCAAGCCTTACAAAAGGGGGCTTAAACCAAACTTTACAACCAGATGGGAGTTCATACTCATCAGCCAAAGGGGTCAGCTACCGCATCAAAGGAGCATCTCGGAGGATCACATTTAGCGTTCAGAAGGTCGGCTACCACGACAAGGGAAGCAATAGAAGGACAACTGGGCAAGAGGGCTAACTCCTTCACCCTTCATCCGATCTTTTTGGTATGTTGAGCCAACAGTCGGCTAGTCAGGTGAAGGGGGCACAGTTGTAGATCCCAAATCTTGTCTGACCTCAAAATAAACAGCAAAAGACTTCCGTTCAAAGATGGGCAAGGCCTAAAAGGTCCCTAGGATTGATCAATAGGCCCCATATTAGAATAGGAAGGATTTTGTACACAAAAAAATAAGAAATTCCACCCAAAGGGTCGAGACCGCTGTCTCGTTTGGCGAGACTGTCGTCTTGTTTGGTGAGATCATCGTCTCGTTTGGCGAGACCACCATCTTGCCACTCACCAAAGGCAAGACAGTCATCTTGTTTGGCGAGATGTCCATCTTGCCACTTGCCAAAGGCGAGATCGCTGTCTCGTTTGGCGAGACGATGGTCCCGACCTAACAGGTGTGAATTCCTATAAAAGAGGGGGACCTTCTCCTTATTTTCACACAATTCTACAACTTCTCCAACTGCACAATTCTCAAAATACTCTCCTAAAACCCCTCTGAAGCATTTCTAGAATTCTGTAAAGTGCTTCGAGAGAAGAGTGAGCTGCTTTGTAGAGTGTGGGGTTCACCAAAAAGCGCCCTTTTCAAGAGTATTATATAAAAAGCTTGCTTCGAAGGTTCTTCCATACCCCTTTCTCTATTTTATTACTTTTTAGATACTATCTCTGTGCATTAGTTATTAAGGGCCATGTAGTCCAGTACTTAATTTTTGCAATGAATAAATAAGGGTACAAACGTAATTTTTATGTTCTTATTTCTTTATAAAAACAGTCCATCATAGGGAACCCGAAAGGGGCGTCGTAGGGAAGCTAATACCTTCCCTACACGTAACTAACTCCCTTACCTAACTCTGGTTGTAATGACCAAAGTTTTGAAAGTGATGAAGATCTTATTGAATTACTTAAGCAAAGATCTTGTTGATTTGATGAAGACAAAATGAAGTCCAAGGCTACTATGTTGCAGTCAAAGGTCACTTAGATAAAAAGGTAGAGTGATTAGTGAGTCTGCATCTTTATTTAGGTATAATCATTTTTATCTCTCTACTGCATGAGGTTTTCTTCATTTAAAAGATTTTGCAAATACCTCTAAAACGTGTTTAAACTGTTAAAAACAAAGTATTTTGTTAAAAGGTTTTTAAGTAACTATTTTAACTAATAGTATATGAGCTTTATCAACTAAAATGTTCTTAACACGTTTGTAACAAGTTTTTAAGCTGATATGTTTTCGAAATAATCGATTGTTTTCATTAGAAGGATTTTTGAAAACCTTTTGCCAGATATTTTAACCGATATAGAATTGATATAATCGATTAAAATGATTAGAATATTTTGAAAAGTTTTCTGGCAGAATTTTAATCGATACAAACTCGAAATAATCGATTAAAATAACTTGAAGTGTTTTGAAAGTTGTTCTGTCAGTATTTTAATCGATACAAATGCGAAATAATTGATTAAAACAACTAAGAGGTTTTTCCAGAATGTTTTAATCGATTAAAACAAGCTTGCTATCAGTTAAAATAACTTAGAAAGTTTTATGAAATCTTTTGGCAGAATTCTAATCGATTAAAATGCATTTCAATCGATTAAAATAACTAAGTGAACTTTTTCCAAAGTGTTTTAATCGATTAAAACAGATTGTTATCAGTTAAAATCACTTAGTAAGTTTTATGAAAACCTTTAGCAGTATTTTAATCAATTAAAAGATGAAACAATCAATTAAAACAAATTGAAGAATTTGTTACAAAGAGTTTTAATTGATATAAACGTTGTCATATCAGCTTAAAACAAATTTGGAAAATAATCAAGAACATTTTAACAGATTAAAAGAAGTTTTAACAGATTAAAACAAGACTTTTAGCAGATTAAAAGATTATTTTAACAGATTAAATAAACCAGCAGTTTGGAAAAACTTCTATATAAACAGAGTTGCTTGAACATTTTAAAATACATCTTTTGGCAATCAATCAAACAATCATAAGTGCTACTTTCAACAGAGAATCGCGCTAGTTTTGTGAAGTTCTTAAAAGTTCTTTCTTGAGGCAATATTTGCATTCTTTTGGAGAAGAAACTCATTCTGCAGAGCTGCATAAACCTGGTTTCGGTGTTCTAGTTTCTTCTCTTTTTTTCTTTACTTTTCTTTTCTATATTGTGGGTGCTTGGAAGTGTGGGCACTGGTTTCTGTGGCTGGAATTTGGTTGCAGGATTGTTCAAGAACTGAAAATTGATTCTTGGTGAAGGTTTAGGTGCAAGGACTGGAATTTTGGTTCTTGTGACAGATTGAGTGTGGGATTGAAGTTGTAATCTGTAAAACGTTCAATCTAGTGGAACCTAGCTGGAATTTGGCTGGAAACTGGACGTAGCCCTGGGATTGGGTGAACCAGTATAAATCTTGGTTGTATCTTTCTAAACCTTTCTCTCTTTAATTTTGTCACTACCTTTACTTTGATTGTTTACTGTGTTTGATTCAAGAATTGGTCAGAATTCTTAATCTTTGAAATAGATAATCTGTAAACTGTGAAAATCTTTCAAAGATCAATTCACCCCCCTCTTGATCTCAGCCTACATTTCTAACAAGTTGGTTTTTCTTAAAAACCACCGCCTTCTTTTCCTTTTCCAATGTTTTTGGTAAAAATATTGGTGGTGACTCCTCGAACCCTTTTGAAAACCTCGCTTTTAGGTCCAGCCCGGTTATCGGACAACCTAAAGGAATTAAACCAACACTTTAAAAAATGCGAGTCAAACAAAGTCATCGCGTCGCTCCGACTGCCTCTTTTGATGGTGATGACAACCCCAAATAATCGATTATTACAGAAAGATTTTTTATGAACCACTCATTTAAGCTTCAATAATCGATTATTACCTAAGATAATTGTTAGAATCGCGCAGTGGAATGTTCGCGTGGTCGGACAAAAACCAAGAGGGGGAGGTGAATTGGTTTCTTAATAAAAATTAGGTTTTCAAAATTTTCCCCAAATTTTACCGATTAAAAACTGTGTAAATGTAAATAGAGAAAGGGATAGAGTCTTACACAGGAAATTTATACTGGTTCAGATCAAAAGACCCTACGTCCAGTTGCTAATCACTCAAACAGAGGATTAACGCTGTCACTATAAACAAAGTTATTACAAGCAAGTTACAATGGAAGAGATAAAGTAAAGATAACACCTCTCTTGAAACCCACAAGAGATGAAGAACAGCTTTCCCCAGAGACGGCACATCACACAATCCACTAAGAACTCCACTTAGTGATTCTTATCGCTTCTAGCCCACACCAGGTTTCAAAAGCCCCTTTTTCTTGCAACAAACAGTTCTCTGCACTCACAGCACTTAACTTTTGTATGAAAAAGGTTGTTCTTATTTTCTGAGTGCCATAGAAGAGTTTAAGTAGAGAAATTAGGGTTTGGGAATTGGGATTTTCGGAATTAGGGTTCTTGGGAAAAGGGTTTTCGAAAATAGGTTTGATTTGAAGTTAAAAATCAAAATCTAACTGAAATAATCGATTAAAAGAAGTATTAATCGATTAAAACAGAGTCAAATATCAATAGAACCCAAACCTCTCTGTTTTAATCGATTAAAAGGTGATTTAATCGATTAAACCGCCTGATAATCGATTAAAAGTTGGTTTAATCGATTAAACCGGTGAGTTGTTACAGAAAATGATTTTTCTCACTATTTTAATCGATTATTTCCCTATTTAATCGATTAAAGCCGAGCCTGGATGATAAATTTGAGCTTTTTGAAGCTTCTAAGGTGCAGACTATGTACCGGCTATCTTAAACTCTAATATTACAGACTCAATCTAATTGAAACAGAGTTATTACAATACAAAACAAGTCTTCAACACTCTAAGTCTTTGTGTTCTTGAATCATCATCAAAATCAACAATCTTCATGTCTATCAAGTGCAGCATCAAGTCCTTGAATGTTCAACAATCTCCCCCTTTTTGATGATGATCAAAATTATCTTTTAAAGCCTTGTAATAACCTGTTTTATCTGTCATACTAACAAACACATTAAACATACCTGACAATATTTAAAAGTAATCAAATTAGGCTTTAAATATTTTCTCCCCCTGTTTTGATTAGAATAAAAAATAATTCATCCATTACAAAAATAAGAGCTCCCCCTCAAAATATGCATAATTTAGAGAAAGCTCCCCCTCAATCAATGCAATAACAAAACATCACATTTTATTTCAGAA